CTGGAAGGTTTCTAGCGGAGCCTCCCAAAAAGCCGTTCGGAGGGGGACGCCCGGCAGCCTGCCACAGCCGTGCAGGTCTGCTGTGCGCTTGCCTCTGAGCAGAAATACTGATGCATGAGCAAAATCTGGCTTAGCTATTTTGGGATGGGTTTGTCATTCCTGACACTAGCTGCTTTTACTCTTAGCAAAATATCCACCAACAGCCTTGCACCAAAACAGCTATGCTGAATCTGTTACGAGTTTACGTGCAGACAAAGGTTTCTAATTTGTACTAAACACCCATCAAGAGGGGGAGCTGGATCTGGGCTCCTGGAGCAGGTGGGACAGGTTACTGTGATACTGGAAATACTTAAGAGCCTCTGAAATTCATAAGCAAGCCAGTCACGCTTGAGGGTCCGTTTCAGTGAAGAGCATGGACTGCTGGTCTCAGCTCTCTGGAAGTGCTCAAGCTATGGACAGATCTCGGCTCTATGCGTTGTATGTAATGAATTCAGGTGTTTACACTGAGATCACACTTGCATATGAATGCTGCTATTCTGTTTTGCACTGCTATGACTAGTAACTGGATTTTGCTTATATGTGTTACTTTGATATTTAACATAGGGGTCTTTTTGGCTAGTAATTTATTTTAGTATTTTAAAACTTTACTTCCAGAAAAATTGTGTTGAGATGTTCTCTAAAACCTTGTATTGCATCTTACATGTTCTCTGATTCAGTTTACTTTAAAGGCTACTGACCATACGTGGTGACTTTCTTTGCTGCTGTTATTTTAGCAAAATGAGCAGCTATGACTTCTAATCTATGTGCGAAATGAGAGAGGGAGCAACATAACAGTGCTTTTGTGTGCGCGCGTGTGACGTATCAGAGTCCTGTATCACTGACTTTCTGCCCTTCATCTGACATAAAACTTTCTGCCCGTAGCTGTGTGCTGTTCATGAGAGGGAAGCCTGTGTTCAGGGCTGGGGCCCTGTAGCTACAGGTCCGAGTTCTCTAGGGCAATCTTCCTGTTTGCATTCATTCTTCGCTCCCTTCTGTGTCTCTTTGTACAAATAAAAGGCTAAGTAAACAAGCCAGGACTCCTTTGTTTATTTATGGATATTCTGCTTGGTATTAACTCTGCCGGAGCTGTGTGAAGGGACGAGGCAGTCTGTTTCCCAGCCTCTGATACAGCTTTGATACATGTACCATCAAAAAGATGGGTAAGGACTGTGTAAGGGAATAGTGAGAGGGCAACGGTGTAATATTACCAGCTATTTGAAGCCTGATTTTCCTGGATGTTTCCCAGCAAGGAACTATTATCTGAATTAGTGAAATACATTATTTGAGATCTTTTAGGACACGGGCGTTATCAACTGGACTCTTATGCTATCTCTCCTTTCTCTGGGCAATTCAATATGGATGTTACCTCGCGCAGGTAATTCAGATCTATAACACCAGCAGGTGTAGTGCCCAAACGGTAACGGCATGTATGAAATTAGTGCAGTTTGTCCACAACAGTGGAAAATGAGTTTTCAGTTTATCTCTACTAGAGAGCTAACTCTAGCTGGGCATTTCACCATTGGAATTTCAGCTGGAGTCCTCAAGAAAACTTTGTATTAGAGTGGCAGTGTAATAGTGCTGATAAAGTAAACTGATAGCGCGCTAAAAGTGCCCAGTCTATCTTCAATCAGCACATTTAGTCCATTAAGCATAGATAGTGCTGAATCAGACCTCAAATGTAAAGGGGATCTTGCAAATCATGTTTACTTATAACTGCACTGTAACAGGCAAAGTTCAATTAACTCTGGCGCTTTTATAGAGACATTTCAATTAAAAAAGTTGGCCAAAAGTAGTGTGTTAATGATTTCCAAACCAAACGCATCAGGAACTATTTTTATACGTGGCTCAGCTGCTTGAAATCACAGTTCAAAAAGCACAAAATAGTGCATAAATGTTTGGTCTCACTTCCAGGCAGGGATATAGACAAACAGCACTGACAATGTAGAGTGAGGAAACTTACTGAATTTCTAATCAACTTTGACTGATGGACTTAAAAGCTAGTTAGGGCTAAATACAACCTATAATTATTTTTGTTATCTTGCTTGTCTATTTCACTGCAAAAGAAGCTAGCAGATTTTTTTTGGGGTGGGGGGGGGAGTACAGCAGTCTGTTAACATCAAATATACTATTTAACCTTTTACTGTTCTTTTCCTATCTCCTTTTGATCGGTACCTTCTTGTGTGCAATGCACAGAAGTTCTAACACTAAAATGCTTTTCATTTACTTAAAACATATTTGTATTTTATTGACCGTCTCTTCAAAATAGAAATTGCAAAAGGTTAGCTGAAAGCGTTAAAAAATGTTTCTGTGAATTATGTGTCTATTTTATACTAATTAAACCACAAGTGCATTTTTGATAGTTTGATATATCACCTTTTATGGTCAGAAGTTTAACAAAAAGCCAGATAAGGATAGTTATTAACAAAATAAATAAATCTAACTGCTATGCTAGAAAAGTGCTGGAGTGTATAATACAGCGTTGTATGCTCTTGAAGAAAATAACACAAGCTTGTGCATGGGTGATCAGAGGATGCCTTTTATCTGTGCCGTTAAGATGTAAGCTACGATTTAAGAAAAGTAGCATGTTTCACAGAAGCAGGCCCTTTGCTTAAATAAATAAAAGAACATCACAGTGAAAACCAAGATTTTTACAGTTGCAGGTTAAGAAGCAGGGACCTTAACAAAACTGAAAGTAAAAACTGCACAATATTCTTTAGTTTGATATACACAGTGGAAAATAACTCAGCTTGAGAAAATAAGATTATTTCCCTTGAAACCTCTGAAACGCTTACTAGAAATAAGCAATGTCAGACAGATGCTCTTATAAAGGCAACAGCACTCTTTATTTCCGCTGGAGGAAAAAAAAAAATCATCTTATACCTCACAACTTGTCAAGAGCTCAATGCAAGGCTTATTCCCTTTTATGCAGCTGTGAAAGTCACAGTAATTCTCTTTTCAAAGAACGACTCAACAATTCCAACATAGACCACTGCCAATGCGCAAGGAAGTGATGTTCAACATTCCTGCAAATATCAAATAAACTATTTAGGGATACAAGCCATATCATTTTAAACAAATATGGTGCAGATATACCTGTTCTAGTGCATACAGAAGGGATTTTAGTCATTTGCTATGTAAAACAATGGATTAATATTGATTTAAAATAAAGTTCCAAGTTACCAACCATCTCACTGGTTACGATCAAGTCTATTTTATAGTGATTTTACACTGGTTAATAGTTGGTCACACAGGACTGCCCTGTTTTGCCCAAGTAACAAGTGCAGGTAGACCATATGTACCATAGGTTCTTTACACTTCTGCCAGCCAGGACTAAAAAATATTGCTCGCGTTTGACTACAGTAAGGCTTTTCTGTTGATGTACATTGTGTACTTGTGGAGTGCACTTTAGAGTCACAGCATAACTACTGTAAACACTGACAGAAGTGCAGACAAAACAGCTACAAACACATAATAGGACTAAAGACCTGAGGAAAGCTTGTTAAAACATACTTCTGAATTGTTACGATACTGTATTTTTTTTTAATGAGTGTAGTTGTATTGGCTTGCTTTAAAATCAATAAAAAGATTCAGATAAAAAAATATATGTATTCACATAAAGGATGAACATTTGAATTTTAAAAAGCAATACATGCATTTCCCTTTCAGATGACAGAATTATTAAAACTTATTTTCTAATAAGTATACATTAAAATTCCACCTGATTTTTATTTGAATTTAGCACCCACACACAGGCACGCACGCACGCACAAACGCACATACAGAGTCATCTCAAGAAGCACCTGTATCTACCAGTTATTCTCTTGCTGCCCTCTGACTATGTGAACTAGCTGGTTTTGAATCACTATAGAAACTGCTACTTTAATAGACAGATGGTCCCGTTTTAGGATCTGAAATGTTACTGGCTTGTTTTATCCTTTTTTAGAAAGCACTAATTTAATCTTGAGTTTGGATTAGCTGTTCAAGTATAAAATTATCCCTCTGAAGCAGGAGCATGTGATAAAAATCTTGGTAACTAGACAGAAAATATCCTTAGTCGTGTATAAACAAACCTAAGAGAAAACGTCTGTCAGCATGATACACTGTCAGCATGAAAAACTACTGTATGCAGGTATACATATAGAGATAGATAGATATCCCTCCAAGTAACAACTGGAAGCAGCACAGTCAATGGCTTTGAATTATTCAGAAATGACTAAGCAGATGAGCATTTCTTTGGTAAGTAACGAAGTTTTCGCCCTGGACTCCCCACAGATTATGTTCTCAAACTTGATGGCAATCCTACATCCTGATGCTAAGCAAAATTTCCATCTGCTCTTCAATAAATGTGTTTATGTAAAACTTTTCTTTCAAAGCTAAGACTGCGTGGCTGGGGAACCAAACGCAGATCCCCATGTTCTGAAACTCCCCTCATGTTTAAGCACTGCACAATCTGCAAAAAAGTCTTTTTCGTAAATAGCACTCCAGCCCTCAAATCAAGGTGGAAAACCACACCAGAGCTTCATTTATGCTAATGATTAAAATTAAGAAGGCAGGTGAAATGTTTACTTTAGTAATCCAGGAGTAGTCCTCAGGCTGATAGCTATAAAAGCTTTCAGTTTCACACAACTTTGGTCACCCTTATTTCAGGAGATCACTAAGGAGTTATTTTTCCACGAGAGAAAGCTGTAGAACTTGCTGAAGCTCTGCGTCTTCCTCTTCGCGACGTTGCTTCTCTCGCTCCTCCTGCTCTCGGACAGACAACTCCATGGCAAGCTGCAAGTCTTTTTCAAAACTGGAGGGCTCACTAGGTGTGCTGCAGTGCGAATTACCTGAGCTTGTTAGAAAGCTCTCCTGCAGTGCCCTGAAGAAAGAAAAATAGCTTCAAGAAACAAGAGGCACAGATTCCGTAACGCTTTTCCTGCAATAATCCTCCCTAACAACTGTTTTCCAATTGCAAATTTGAATCCCTTTCCTAAAGGGAAGAAAGCAATTCTCAAGATGAGACCAATGTGTTCTAATGGCCATAAAGCTCCCAGCATAAAACTTGTTCTTTGACTATTCCTCAGAATATTTTATACACGCTAAAATACTAAGAGTTAAAGTTTCAGTGGGCTTCCGAAAGGATTTTTATTTAAAGGTACTATCATTTTCATGTACACAAAGAGCCAGGAGAATGCAGTTATTTGTGTGCACAAACATTTCTTCGCGCTTAGCCACAGGAAGACCCCACAGCATATTCTCAAGTGTCCATTAAATACCAAGTTTGTAAGGATTACATAATGATTTTGAAATGAAATAAGAGCTACCCGAAGTCCTCAGTATCTAATAAACATTAAACTTACAGGGAGCAAACTCACAGTTCCAAGAACCGTGCTTATTTTGTTGAGCAAAAAATCTGTTACGTGTGTCTTCTAGTCCTACAGTTGAACGAAAGGGACATGTTATATAAACCAGGGAGGCCTAATTTGAAGCTCTTATTTCTTGGAGCAATAAAACCTTTAAGAAACAGGAACAATAGGAAAAAAGGCTTTGAGTTCTGTGCTTCTGTACCTGAACAGACCAAAAAAAAAAAAAAAAGGACAATTCCTTCATGCTACTGTTGGAAGTATTTTTGCTTTATCAGAGCGTGGCTTGCATAGGGGGGAAAAAGTTACCTCTGATACTGTAAATTGAAGTCCTGTGAATATGCAACTGCTCCATTGGAATGCACTCCCATTTCCTAGAAAAATTCCACAACAGTTAACAGACTTGCAATGCAACTCAGTGAAAGATAACTCTTAAGTCACTCTCTTTCTTTAAATTTATTACTGCATTTTTCTCTTTTGAGGTTCTTAGGAAAAATAGGTCCTACATAACTTTTTCCACACCTTGGTGCAATTTAGAGATGCAACTATCTCTGCATAATCCTTGCAAAACTGTTAAAGCTGCACTGAGTGGATTACAACACTTACTTTATTTCCACTGGATTCCAACAAACTCTGCTGAATAGCAAATTGCATAATCTCATTATCTTCATCCTGCACATGTATGTTCCTACCATCATCTTGGACATGGTAAGACTTAGGAATCTCAAACACTGACTGGTCAACCTCAAAAGTAGCACCTGTAGAAGTCAAATATAGTTACAAACGTGGCGTAGTTTATTTTTACAATTGTTGCTCAAAAAATTCTGATGGAGTTGATTTAATTGTGCATAAACGTTCAAAAACGTTGATCAACCACCCGGCTACACACATCAAGAGGCTTTGAAAGACTTACGTGGCAGCCAAGCACAGCAGTAAGAATAAATAGAGAGTCTTTTTTTAGAATGCTGGCAAGTCGTACAAGTAAAGCCAACGTGCAGCAGAGAGCAAAGGTGGCTAAACTCTGACAAAAAGAAAAGCAAGGTTGCACAACAAATACTGGAGCGTCTCGGACTTCAGTGAGGATGTTCCTAATGACTGGGTCTGTAACACCTCATAGGACAGAGTACAACTGTATACACGCAGTCACAAACATCCTACTCAAACATAATTCCTTATCTCCTGAAAAGGCACGCAGACTGATCTGTCACAGCACTTTTGTACTCTACTTCCTAAAGCAATAGCTTTCTCATCAGCAGCAGCACTATGATCTAATGCATCGGAATTTAAACCCTAAAACACTTTGTAAAGCTTTGCTAGAGCTCAGCTTAGTCATTTGAGCAGTCTCTGAAGGGGCAGAATGTGTTACCAATGACTACTTTCACACACTCCAGATCAGCTATGTCATGCGTTGCAGCTTCCTCTCATCTGTGAATTTTTCATTCTTTGCAGTTAACCTGTCTCCTCCTCTTGTGGATTCCACTGACAGAACTATTAAAAGATCCAGCCACTGAATCTTTCTACTCCTTACCTGATGACTCACACTGTGCACCTCCACTGATTTGTGATGATGGTTTGTCAGCTGTCCTGCAGCTGTTAACATTCTCAAATGTAATTCGGGCATTCAGCACATGAAATAAGGGAATTTCTATAGGAAAGAGTACAAGATTTCTATAAAAAAAGAGAATTCCGTCATTCACTTCCACACTTGTAGCCACATCAAACCCGTACAGGTTTATTGAACATATTTCACAAACAACATCCCATAACCACAAAGCAAATTGCAACCCACCTCACCAAGAAGTTGCACTCAGTCTCGCTGTTTCTAAACTCTTTTCATATTTTAACATAACATTTTAAGAATCTAAGACACCGGAGACAAGAGGAAGAGGTGAGCAAACAGCCAGTTCTTACTGAAACAATATCATCTTTAAAATTACATTACTCTGCTGGTCCTTTGGAATTTGGATTTAATGATCCCAGGCACACAAGATAACGTGCATCTGGCTTCTCACTTTTAGAGATGGTCAAGATGACATTTACAAAAACCTTGTTAACTTTGTGTTCCAGTTTTTAAACTAACGTGTTGCAAACACCAGTAGAATGGAAATGAAGATGTTAAAATAAAAAATGCTGAACATTACCAATTTTGACAGGAAATCCTGGTGGAAACTCCAAAGTGATGAAATCTCTAAGTCTAGCAAAATGAGCACTAGTTCTGGCCATCAGATCAATGATTGGAGTGACTTGTTCCATAAGAGACAAGGGAAACTCTTCACTCATCCACAAGGTTGCTTTAAATCTATACGAGCAAGTTGCATAAAAGCATTCTAAGAGTACAGCTTTGGAACAGATACAAAGCAAAATACACAGCATTGTCCCCTGCTTTATACGTCTCAAAGAGACAGAAGAGTTATTGCACTAAAAAACTGAATTGCAGTCCTGGTCAGACTAAAGGCAATGGGTAATACTTTACAATAGGTAAGGATTGGATTTTTAGAAAGTTACAGCACTACTCCAAATGTTTTGTTTCACTTAGTAGAAGTAGTAGAATATGGCTGAACAGTTCAAGATACCTCTTTTGATTCATTTCTTGGAGAAAAAGCAGGGAGGTATTTAATCAGATATTTGTACAAATTGTTTTCTAAAGATTAGATGATCGGGTAAAGACAGTTTCAAAATACTTTAAAACAGGAAATAGTTAAGAGCATTTCTCACTTCTGTGTTCTGATGGTGACTTCTTTCGGTCTTCCAATGTCTCTATCTTTCAAATCAAACTCTGGGTCAAAATATTCCTCCAGAGTAATAGCAGTTGGATTGTTAATTGTGGCATACTCTGTTGTCAGATCCTATTAAATAAAAAAAGTACAGAATGACTCAGGCAGCGGCTACTACAAGAAACTAAGTTATTTCTTGTGAAGTAACTCTTTCTCTACTTTAGTCACCAGTAATATGTAGCCACACACACACACATTTAAAAGTCTGATACAAACAAGTACTTTCTACTGAGGTTAAAAATCTCCAAGGATTTTAGGGACAATAGAATCTACTTAAAAGCCAACCTATTATGTGCCACTTAAATACTTAAAACCTAGAAACTGACCAGAAAGAAGCACACAAGCTACAAAACTAAGCTCCCAACCCTTTATGAAAGCCAAAACTTTGATAGGGTATTTTAAACAAAAAGCCCATGATCCACGTTAACATCTACAACACTGTCTTAATAGATTTGCCAGCTGCTGGCTCTGTATCATCTACTGCACTTAGTATATACGGATTCAAGGGAGTCTTTTCTGAAGCAATATTGCCGTCATTATCAACACGCATTTCAGAACAGCCAAGGACACAACTTTTAGCATGCTGCTCTCCAGCAACTCAGACTGTGTCATTTCTGCCCATTATCTTTTGTCTGATGATCACTACACTAACACCATCTCCCAAGCAAGGCTTCTGCCAGTCTGTGGCTTGTTGCCTGTGAACATTTCTTCCCAAATTATGGTCGGATGCCACCAAGAATTGTGCTTGCTCAGATTTACCACCACTGCTCATGCCCAACTCTCACTTTGCTAATGGATTCAATGTCCTTTTCATCAGAAACTTCAGAAGGAAACAACTGCTACTCGTAGAAAGAAGCCACAATAGAAAAATTGCTGCTGAACTGAAGAAACAGGAAGCAATTCACACACATACAACTTCTGTTGACACCGATCTCTACATTGTAGTGATCTTTCGTGAAGACAGCAGACACTCACCTGAGCACCATACTCATGCTCCACTGTTCCAAGAAAGGATTCCAGAGGGTTCCTGTCAGCTTCAGACAATAGGAGGGGAAAAAAAAAAAAAAGTCATCTATTACTATCAAGTAGCACTAAAATTCACGTACACGCCTGTCTAACAAGCAAGGCTTCTAACTCAAAGTAAAGGAGGCAGTTCACATTCAGGGGAGAGCCCAAGTTTCCCATAAGCTTTGCCAGAAAAGACCAGGACCAAAAGGTGACAGAATAAAATAGGTACAAGAAACAGAACAGAGGAAAAAGTTTTCAGGGGTTTCTATCATCAAACAACTTTATTTTTAGCAGTGCCTCCCTCCTGGGTCCGAAGGAAGACCAATGAAGGGCAGTGTTTCCATGCAAGGTTACTGCCTCATCTCCCTTCACTCTAATTTAGATACTACAAAGAATTAGGGGACCAACAATAAACAAAAAACCCCAAAAAACAAAACCCACTTGAATCTTGTGGTCATGGCAAAAACGAGGCGGAGGCACAAACACGTTCCAGAACAGGAAACAGAGATACTGAAAGCATAGAAAGAAGTGTAGCCTTTTAAAGCTTTCAATAGTTTTGAAGGGCTCTTCTTTCCTCCAGATACAGCTAGGATAAATACTGGTTCATTCATATGGTAGGAGTCAAGTAACGAGCCACAGCCACCTCAGTCACAAAACGCGAAGCTAAAGCAGGGCAAGGTCAGCAAGTATTTCACCTTATCTGCCTAGTACTTCTACAGCCACACAGAGAAAACATCAGAGAGGGTCTACTTAATTCCATCTATCCTATAGGAAAATTACCTTTATATCTTTTCTTCTCCTCTTCTGTTAAATGCTCCGTTCGGATTTTTGTGACTACATTTACATTGTTTGCAGTGTACACCTTAAAAAAAAAAAAAAAAAAAGGTACAACACAGGTTAAAAGACAGCCTTCTCTTCAGAGCTAATAAAAGACCACGAACACAAACCTAAAACAAGAGCGGATTAAGAAGTATTCATCTATTTCTTATGACAAACATCTTAAACATATCGGTGATCAATAAGAAACACTGCACTTTAGTGATTTTTCTATTCACTTTCAAACAATGGAAATGCTATATACTAGCTATATACTATTTTCTTGACAGTCCTGTGCTAAGGCTGAAACTACATGGCCACCTGCTGGTCAAACTGATAAAAGTAAGAAAACCTACATATCGTATGACAAAGTATCTCTAGACAGCATTAATTTTTCAAGCATCCTGCACCAAGATAAAAGCAAAGGAGTTTGGCCATTGATTTCAATGGCAACAAAATTCAGCCTTTCAAAATGTTTCCTGGGAAGTAGATTTATGAAGAAAAACAAAATCTATGTAAAAGTGCAATCTGAACCAACTTCAAAACTAGATAAGCATTTCCTATCTTGCTCTCCTCACCTGGGCAGAGATTTTATGAGAGAGAACACGGGGAAGCAGAGTCAGACTATGCTATCTCTAAACAAGAGGTCATTGATAAGATCTTCCAAATGAAATTTACTGGGTGGCTTAATTATACAGGAACACTAATGAACCCCGTGTTCAACTGAACAGTCCTGCAGTCTTATGAAAAAAGCCTTCATATAAATCTGTGAAGCTATTGACCATTAATTTTACTGTTAAATGAAACTACAAAAAAGAAGTGCTGTTTACTGCACAAATTCCAAAACCTGGAGTAAACAGAGACTTATTAATTAAGAAAGTTAATTCTTGCAATTCTTAAATTCCTAAAACACTACGGTTGTAAAAGCCATCTTCAAAAATACTTCCCAAAAATAGAAAACTGAAGAACACTGTCACATGGAACCAATCAAAGCCACTGCTTGGCTCATCAGCAGCAGCAGAGTCTTTTATTACTTGAATTGATGATGTAACTCATGGCGGCAGGAGGCCGTTATTTTCTTGCAACCCTGTCACTTGTGAGAGCTCAAGGCCCTTCATCAATGGGCTCCTCATCTTCTAAAGAGAGGAAGAACGCCAATACTTGAGAATGAGTTCAATTCTAGTTTTTGGATGGAACTGAGTTCTACTGGTTATTGCTGAACCTTTTGTCCCTTTTCTCCTGAAGTGCTTTCATTCCTTCTCTCCCCAAAGGGCCCTGCTGACGTTCTTACACACAGGCACCATCACTCCCATAAGGCTGGCACCCTGGAAGTTCCTCACTCCTGCCCAGTTCTGCTGGCAAAACAAGAAAACTCTCAGGGAAAAGTTTAGAAACTGAGATATTCAGGAAATAAAGGCATAACACGGTCACACTTCAGTTAGCTGTAAGACGACTTAATAGCACAGAACAGATTTTACCTTTGCTTCGTAACCATTTACACCTTCTGCTTTCTCTGTCCTCCATACCCAGAATCCAGATGTGGTTCTGACAAAGAGTGAACATCAAAAGCGTCTATGCAGTTACATTTCTACACAGTCCCCAGCCCATTTTTCTAAAAAAAGCTTTGAGCAAACAATAGCTTATTTGATTAGTAACCTCAGACAAAAGCACAAGCCAGCCTGTCCCCACACACAAATACCAAGAAAGGGCTGAGGAAGCCACGCCGCTTCTGCTCTTATTCAGGCCATAGCCAAAGCACAGAGGCTCAGACAGAGATTTTAGGTTTGGATGTGAATACCTGAGCCACAGAGGAGCAGGAGAACCTAAAACTTACTGAATTATTTTGTCTGACAGCCTGACCACAGCAGCTTTTAACGTGCACAGTTTAATTTCAAAAGTAACCTGTCACTGAAATTTGGGGAAGTCCTTGGAAGGATTGCTCATGTCTAGGAAACCCTGAGTCAAGTCTCTGGATGTACAGATGCCGCAGTTACTAAGGCTCCCTGAACCTCACAGGGACTAAGTTTTGGAAGTTTTTTAAACATTCAGGTGAAAGATGATGGAATTACACATCTCACTTTGAAAATACCTCTTGTTTACAATATGCTCTGAGGAGAGGGGTGTTTTACTGTGTTTCAAAACACTCCAAAAGGAGCTTAATAAGAAGGCTTGTTTCAGCACCTTTGACTAAGCTGACAGATACCTAGATAAACAAACGTGATAAACAAGGAAGACAAATATAGTAGAAAGTACTATGGGAAGAAATACTGTACAAGTATTTTTAATAAAAGTATTAATATGAGATCTGACTTATTTAGCTAAAACAAAAGCTGTGAATTCTCTTATGGGATCCTCAAAGTCCAACTGAAATCTGTCCCATTAGTTTTGACACCATACATACAGATTTGAGTGAACTACACACTCTTAACAAGAGAGGTTACCGCTGACCTCACTAATACGATCATTCAAAAGCTTCACGCAAATCAGTTCAACTGGAGACTTTTTGCCAAGCAATAGCAGTTAAGATGACCAAGCAAAGTTTCAGCTAACTACATGTGAAGTTTAAAGTAATTTCAGATGTAACCGTAAAAGTTTTTATTAACAGGGCTTTCGAGAGTTTGTCTTTAAAGCTTAATTGCAAGTACAATCAATCATAATCTTGCAGTCTATTTATTGTGAGAAACTTCATATCTTACCTTTCAAAAGCAATATTTTTTGTATCAAGGCACGTATTAATAATTGGAGACGTAAGGCGTCTTTCCACATCTTTTCTTTTTGGTGTCATAGATCCCAACGTCAAACGCTTCATGTGTTGGGAAATCTCAAAACGCTCCGTTGTAACAAACTTATCATCGTGATTGATCTCAATTAGCTCCGCCCAGCCTCCAGTATCTGTTGGAATGAGATATCTCATCATCTACAAACTTACCAATAGTATTTGAGAATGAAACAAATGAACAGAGCAAAAAAATCAAGCGTTTATGTTATACTCCAAAACAGTGACTCTACGGGTCATGAAAGACACGTAGAAAATTTTTGTTGAAAAGTACATACTCATTCTCAACAGGTCTTCTTTAGTAGAACTGGCGCTTCTCATTGGGGCTCACAAAGTATTTGGTGACCAATGATTCAGACATGCTAAAATATTTACCTTCTCCCTTGAAAATTAAACTACGTCTTCCTCTCTCCCAGCTCATATTTTCAAAGCCCAATAACGTGATATCCACTCGTAGTTTGGCACCACTTTTCCAGATGCGGCAGACATCACTTGGACACACTCTAGAAACAAGTGGGACTACAGAAGAGAAGAGAAAAAAGAAAATATATATACAATATTCTGAGACTAAGCGCATAGGAAGTCTGAACTCATCCAGAAGCTATATTCCTCGTATAGGAATTGCTCAATGAAGTACTACGATCGTTGTTCCAGTAGAGGTGATATTTATCCTCTCTGCCTTTAAGAATGATGAACTTAGAGACTAGAAACGCTGGTTTTATTTTAAAGATGAACACGAAAAGGAGTAAGGCATTTGTCCAGACTAAAAGATGTGGAATGAGATAAAACCAGTCTCCTAGCAGTTTAATAGGTAGCTGTTTGGAAAACGAAGTCAACTGTAAGGCCCAACATTTGTTCATTTAAAAGAAGAGCAGGGGTTTCTAGAGTAGTCTGTGCATCAATATAGAAGGTTGGTATCACTGTCTTAGTCACCCCATACCCAGAGATGGGTAAACAAAGCCCCGAGGAAAGCCTTCAACAACTCTCTGACAATGGTTGCAGTTTCCATTTAAAACAAACAAACCAACCAACCTGCAACCAAAAAATAAGAGGTTAACTCAAATCTTCAGAGCTCTGAATAGTTTGAGAGGTGACGATAAGTATAGCGGGGGCAAGCAAGGAAGATTCTAATAAGCATATTTCTCTGCACTTCTTTTGTGACAGTTGTACATGAGCAGGTCCTTCTGTCTACCATTTAGAAGAGGTAACAACGATCAAGATACTTACCCCAGCTAGTAAATTCCCATTTCATTTCCACATAGAAGTCAGGGGTCTGAAAGAAGAAAATATTTTGTGAAACAAATACTGAATATTAGGTTAAAACTATAGCATTTCTCATACATGTTTCAGATTAAGAAAAAAGAACTTGAGACATGACAAATGAGCCTTAAAACAACGAAATTGAAACCAAGAGATATAAAAGACATTGGCCTATCACTGCTGCTTTTTACTGAGCTATTCTTCCCTTTTTTACTATAGAAGCAGTAACAGCTTCAAGATTCGGCCTCTGACGCTGGAGTTCCTAACCAAGCATTTCAAAATACTCAAGGAAAAAACTGCATCATCTCCCACAGGTCTACGGGAGATGCAGATTGAAAAGAAGAACAAAATCACCAAACTTCACATCAACTGGGTTCTAATCTCTGTTCATCTGCTTTAACGGAACTACTTTAAACCTCTTATTCTAGACTGTAATTCCAATTCAACTAAATAATCACCTCATTAATCTTTTGGAGTAATTCAGGAACTCCTCCAAGCGTCATAGATGTTTGCTGATAGTCTCGATGCTGCAAAATCATATGTACCATCTCTGGATCTCCTGTACTGACAGCCTCATGTAAAACTGAAAGAAATCAAGACATAAGCTAGTTTCAGTTTGCTTTTCAAACAAAATAAACAATATAAAAAGCAGTCAAAAATACAACATTTACAACTGAAAAACATTAACATACAGTTTCTTTTTTTCAAGTTATCTTTACCTGTCCATCCCTGCGCATTTTCTTTGGTTACATCTGCCTTGTGCTGAAGAAGGACTTTGGCAGATTCTATATAACCCAAGGAAACAGCAAGGTGCAACAAGGTCCGGCCTCGAGGATCACGTTGATCAACATCCTGTTGAGTATCCAAGACAGAAATAATACTACAGTTGTTCTATCAAAGGCAATTAATCAGAGTGCACTGCAGAGAGTTCATATAAACAAAGCTCGTCAATAATAAAAGGAGTCAGTATTCCCATATATCAGTTTGTCACACCTAGTCAACTCAGCTTTCATAATACTACTGCATTGCCCTTTTGCACTCCTTACAGTGCAATCTTACTTCCCTACTGAAATAAAAGAGAAGCAGAACAGGGCCCCTAAAACTAACAAATATCACCGTAAAACATTACAGGAAAAAAAAAAAAAAGAGAAGCATCAACAAGAACCCAGTTGTTATTTCCCCTTCTCTCTCCCTTCAGAAACAGTCTCTTTCGGGAGATGACAGGAGTTCTATTCTTTGTGTTTTGCACTACAGACAGTCAACAGCCTGAGAGACCACTAGAGAGTAGAACAGTATTATAGGGCACATTAAATAAATTAAAAATAAAGCAATAGGCCATACAATGCTCATTTTGTATAGCACTTTTTGAAAGTATGGAAGCAAATGGTAATTTACAAAGCATCCATTTGACTGACACACACAGCACAATGAAGAGTGAGTGCATTTATACAAGTCAAAAAAAAAAAAAAAGTAATTGCACAGGCATAAATATCCAAAACATGCAAGCACAACATTCTCATACCTTACATATTTTTCACTATTAGCTTAGAGATTTGAAACAGAAGAGCATCTATAACTAAAGGAAAAGGGGAAAGTCAATAGCAGAATAAGAAAGGAAAGTTATTATGCAAGTTAACCCAGTTATCTGACAGTATCAGGTTTGAAAGATCACACACACAGAGTTGAGAAAGCTTCACTGAAAGCATTCTCTTTTCAATTCTGTGGTTGAACACTAATTAATTTACTTCCCCACTTCCTACAGCTCCAATGTCTACCACACTGACAGGTAATGTACTCTTAAAAAAAAAAAAGAGAAAAAAAAGAAAGAAAAAAGAAAAAAAGCCCTCCCAATTTTCTTTGCTGTTGTTAACAGGTAACCATACGTTCTAATCCTCCTTTGCCACATCAAGTGCAGCTGGCAAGTTTCTTTTGATTCCCTCACCCACCCTTTCAACAGCAAGAAGTTTATCCCAAGGAAGCAGGAGACAGCATATCTTTGGAACACTTTAAAAAAAAAGTTATTTAAAAGCAGATAAAGGAAATGAGAGACAAATATATTCCATCCTAACATGTTGCTCATTTCCTTACAATGTAAAAGGTTTTGAGGTAAAAAGCAGCACTTCACAGATGTAGATGCTAACGAAACTGCAGTCTTAGAGCATCAAGAAGCAGAATTATCTGTTTAATTACAAACTTTCAAGGATGAGAACATTATTGAAATAGAAATAAATACACAGAAGTAATATGTCATTAAAATTAAAAAATTTTGTTAAGTAGGGACTAAGATTACATGAATTTGATAACTAGTAGCTGCATTCCAAAGATTCACCTAAAAAGAACAGGAGCATGCTCTAAGCAAGCATTAGTAAATTGTGGTGCACTGTTAGAACTGCAAATGGTAATCGCTAGTTAGAAGGTGGCACAGCTGATCTTCGGATCGTATACTTGTGGTGTCAGCCATAATGTAATTATTATGCTCTGCTTCTGCAAACTGTACTCCATACTAATGGGATGCCAGTTTTCCCATAGCATCTCAGCAAGTAGGATGTTTGCTGCAGATTTTCAGACCGTTTCCTTACGTCATTACCATTTCTCCCTTGGTTGTTTCCCAAAGAGGGCTGGCTTTGTATTTTTCTACTCTACAGCATAAAACAATGATCCTATTTTTTTTTTTTTTTTTAAAAAAAAGCAGAGATGCTGAAAACATTCCAGCAAGCATAAAACTGCTACCCCTGCAGACCTGGACAGCAAAGAAGCCATAAGAACTGTTTGTCCTCAGCAAGAGAGTGGCCAGGTTAATCTTTGGCAACAGCAGCCACCTTTGCTGCATGTTGATTTCCCACTGAGGTAAGCAGTATTTATTGCTTTTCTGGCACAGAAAATTTTAGCATCTATCATATCTGCTCTTTCTGATCTGTTTCAATCAGTCCTAATACCTTCTGTAGAGCTATTCTGAAAACCACACTTGAACGCTCTGGGCATAGTTTTACAGATAAGAACTTGAAATTTAAGAAATATGTTATAACAAAAAGCATACCCCTATGTCTTTTTACAGTGCTCCCTCAACCACAATTAACTAGCTAAAGAAAAAGAAGGGTAACTATCCTACAAGCCTGGTAAACAGACACGGCTGCACAAACAGGGTTACTTCCCCTCAGAAAGGTGGTAATAAGTAAGGTTCATTAAACCCGGTATGATACCACAGGGTTTTCAGGGCCACCAAGCCTGAAATGCTCTATTGACACGCTGCCGGTTAGATGTCCGGGTTACCTTATCTCGCAGCTCCTCGTCCAGTCGCCGGTAGTCATTATTCCAGACCAGGACGTGCAGGGGAAACTTGCTGACGGCCCTACCAGGGGAACTCATCATGCCACACACCTGCAGGAGTGGGGGGGAAGCAGGGTGCCTACCCTCACTGTTCCCCCCCACCTTTGTTTTCGAGACCCCAAACTCCTCAAGCCCTGGCCCCTCTCCAGCTTTTGCTCACTCTTGACACCCCCTTTCTTCAGGGTGCGTTGTGGGGGGGGAGGGGGGAGAATCTTGCAAACTCCCCAGGCCACGACACCCTGCAGACCCTTCACCCCATTCTGAGGGTGCCCTGTGCCCAACCCCCCCGGCCCCATTTCCAGGGGTACACCCTGCTCCTGCCCTCTTCAGCCCCACACACCCAGGGACGCCCCCC